GAGCAGTCGATCTCCAGCGACACTCGCACCGACTCGTCGACTGAGAGCTATTCGTGTCGACAGCCCTCCGTCTCGCACCATGAGTCCCTGGTCTCTCACTTCTCCTCCGACTCCCAGGGAACCATCATCGAGAGCCCCCCCCCCGGACCCCTGCACGCCTCTCTCTGCAGCCTGGAGACCCTAGGTGGGTCCCTGCACATTAAATATCAGTCGTGATAATAGTTGCTTTTTAAAAAATAATTATTCAATCATTTTTCAAGCAAAAACTAAATATTTTTATGTCCATAATTAGTTTTATTGCCAATAAGAAAATTCCATTGTTAGGTTTGTTTTTTAAGCTTTTCATTAAAATCTAACTATTTTCATGTTCAAAAAAGGTAATCTTTCAACAACCCATCAAAATGTCCTGAAATCTATATATTTGTAATTATTTAACTGCAGTTTACAGTCTCTCAAATATGAATTTTTGTTTTGTTTTAATATTATAGTAAACATTTTTGCGTTTTCGACGCTACAATTTTATATACAAAATAATTTATCTAGTTATTACTCTCCATCTACTTATTGTGCGAGTTAGTCCTCATACAAAAATAATGGGAGGTTAATGAAAACAAACGTCCATTCATTTTAAATCATTCATTTACATTTTGGATTTGCCAAGTTTATTTGTATTTGCTGCGCAGCCTATCACGCTCTGCCATTCGTCTCCTCTCATTGTGTTGCATGATGGGCTGTAAACATCCGTTGCCATGCTTCTTGTTGCTAAGGCCCCGTGGCGGACAGCGAGCAGCACCAATCTCTGAGGAAGGGAGGCGGGGCCGGGGATAGGAGGCGGAGCTCTAGCCGCCACCGTCGATCTAAACCCGACAACGAAGCCTCGTCGGCCGGGTACCACAGCGAGGGTAGGCAGGGGGCCAATCAGGGGCCGGGGATTAAAGAGTGAAGGGGCCAATATCTCTTGAAGCGTAACTTATGAATTTCTAATATTCATGTTTTTATGTCTAAGTGACTAACCGGGGCTACATTTGTTTTTAATTGCTGCAGCATTGAAATACTTCAATGTAAGTCTACCATGATGCCCCGTCTTTTCTGTCCACTAAGTCATAATACAAATCCATTTTGTGAACATGCTTGCTTGATTTTTTTTTCCCCCCAAAGCTTTATGGCCTTTCATCCACTCCCAAAATAACCACTTTAGGTCAGAAAACGATCAAACTGTATAGATGAGAGTAACACATGCGTCACTTCCGGGCAAACATGACGGCTCCACCCACTTTCTGGGAGAAAACAACGCTGTCATTTGAATGGCGGTCAATACAAATTCGACCGCCAATCCGATCAGAAAAGTAAGAAAACCGTGAATCTTCAAAGAGCCCGATTAAGATGGCCAGTCAGGCAAACAATTACATTAAATTGGAAATCGACGAGCAGGCTCGATATATGGTTAAAAAAGCAGTGGCACTCGATGTCCATAGATGAGAGTAACATCTGTCACTTTACGGCCCCGCCCACTTTTGGGGGAAATCAACGCTGTCATTTGAACGGCGATCAAGTCTGAAGCCACAGAGCTCTTATTTTACTGTCCTTTTTTCTTAGAGGAAGTACATGAACACGTAACTCTGGATTTGTTTTAATGTTTGACGTGCAATAAACGACACAGCAGCTTTTTGGCATGATAAAACTATTATTTTCCGCCTCGCTCATGAGAGTAACAGCTGGCGAAATGACAGACTCGCCTACTGATTTTAATGTAACCATATATCGAGCCCGATCGTCGATTTCAAATGATTTAATGTAATTGTTTGCCTGACTGGCCATCGTAATCGAGCTCTTTGAAGATCAGACAATCCACGGTTTTCTTACATTTCTGATCAGATTGGGAATAACTTCAGAATTTGTATTGACCGCCATTCAAATGACAGCGTTGTTTTCCTCCAAAAGTGTGCGGGGCCGTAATCTTCGCCCGGAAGTGACGTAGGTGTTACTCACATCTATATAATGGTTAGCATGAAGTTTTGCAGAAACTCTTGTTTTCAGTGTTGACGTGTTTTACAGGAAAACATTTTTGACTTGTAATTGAGAGTGAACCGTGCTATCGCTCAAAATGGAACAATTTGACAAACAGATAACTTCGACACAAAAACATTAGGAAAATAAGTAAAACAATAAACACGTTTACCTGTAAATATCGTTATTTTAGAAGCTGTATACAAGACTAACAGCAAATATAAAAGTGCACTTTATTAATTAATTTTAATAGATATATACCAGGTTTATTTTTGATATACGGTAATATTTATTATTTTACAGTTTAAAGGTGGGGTAGGTAATTCACTTCAGAAACACTTTTTGTTATATTCCATGGAATGCTCTTAACGTCCCGATAGCAATGAATATATTAAAAGCTTTGACAATAAATACATTAAAAAATGTCATCTGTGGAAGCCGTGGCGCTGTAAAAAGCACGACCAATCATCTGAGCCGGCCCGGCTAAAATAACTGGATGGCCTACCTGCCTGTCAGCCTTCCATCTGTGCACAAACTTATCTCATGCCCTCATTGGTCATGTGCGCGTTTGTGTGTGTTGGAGGAGGGGCTCTGTAAGGAAGTCTGAAGGAAGGGGCAGATATTTTTCGGCTGTGTATTTTCAAATTCTAGCGCACTCGAGCTGGTTTCTCCATTCTTACCTACCCTACCTTTAACAAACAAATTGGTTTGATCCTGTAAAAGTAAAGATGCTACTTGTTGTAGAACATTTTGTGAGGCTCTAATAAAATATTCAGCTTTCACTTTTTAATAATAATTAGACTTTAAATGCTTCTTTGTGAGATAAGCTAAAGTTTCGCTTTTATTATTTCTTGTTTTTACCCATATTTAATCATTTTTCATTCAATTCTCATCACTCTTATGTTATCTCCATTTGTGTTTGAATTTTTATGGTATTTAACTTATTTCTTTCTCCTTGCTTCCTCTCTTATCGTTATATACCTCCTCCTCCTCCTCCTCCTCCTCTCACTTTCCTCTCCCCCACCAGGAGAGACATTAAAGGAGCAACAGGCTCCTCGTCCCCCCCCCAAAACTTCCTCCTCCTTCTCCTCTTCCACCAATCGCCTCCGAGAATTCAAGGAGACGATGAGCAACATCATCCACAACCGTCCCCTCTCCTCCTCCTCCTCTTCCTCTTTACCAGCCGCCATCACCTCCTCTTCCTCTAACAACCGCCCCCCCGCCCCTTGCTCCTCCTCCTCTAACCCCTTGGAGTCTGATGGCTCCGGAGGGTCGGGGAGGTGGAGGCCGCGGAGGGAGGCGCTAAACATCGACAGCATCTTCAGCCGAGAGAGGCGCAGGCAGGCGGGGTACAGTCCGCTGGGAGCCCCCCTGCCCGACTCTGGAGCTCCGAGGGAGGATGAGGAGGAGGAGGAGGAGGGGAGGAAAGCAAGGACTCTCCCCCACTCCTCCTCCAGCTTCCACAGAGGAGGCGCACAGGGACTTCCTCCTCCTCCTCCTCCCCCCCCCAGACTGATCCAGAGGATGGAGAGCGGGTATGAGAGCAGCGAGAGGAACAGCAGCAGCCCCGTCAGCCTGGACCTCCACCTGGGAGACAGGTTGGGAAATAATCCTCTAAAACTATTTAGAAAATGTATTATTATGTCATTTCTCATTAAGAAATTGCATTAAAATGTTGTTTTCAGACCCTTTTTAATATGGTGGAAATCAAAGAACGGCAGGAAATCTCCATATTTAAGTGAATACCTTTGGGTTTTGGACTGACTAAACAAGACACCTTGGACTTTTCCTAAACATTTTTCACTTTTTTTTCTTGACCATTTTAAGACCAAAAGTCTAGACATTTAGAAAATAATAGTAGTTTTTGCCTTAGTTTGAAACCATCCTTAGAATTCATCATATGTCTTAGTTTTTGGGTCTAATGGCGCATTTCCACTGCAGGGCCTCGCACGGCTTAGTACGGTATAGTTAGGCCTTGTTAGGCCAGGCTCACTTTATGCTGCGTTTCCATTACAGTTTAGTACTGGGGTAGTAACTATGGTAACGCATTGTAGGCGGAGCCATGACGTCATCTTCAATGCGAAACACAAAATCAGCTGTTAGCTGTTAGCACCTCAGAGCTCACAGCTCCTCATATCTGTTCAGAAACTAGACAGAAGTTAAACAAGTACAAACCACAGACTGTCTGTGTCATGGAGAATACAGTCGCTGGTTTATTCATGTCTGTAGGCCGTTGTTGTGAGTGTGGACGGTCGGAGCATATACTGCGTTAGCTTAGCCAAGCTCCATTCAGAAAACACGCATTTTAAAAGGTTTTTCGCCTGCCGTCTGTCTGCAGACTTGTCAAAGCATTAATTCATGGTTTTTACTAACCGGTATCAGTATGTCGTTACTTCGGCATCATTTTGAAACCTGTATTACAATTAAATCACGGTCAAATATGTTCATCTTGTTGTAGTTGTAGCCCCCTTGCCAGCGATTCTCTCACTAGTTTAGCATACTCAGCCCGGTTGTTGGCCCGGAAAACCTGGATTTTGGATTTCGGAATTACGCCTAGTGGAAACGCAAAAAAAACGGTCCGGGTTTGGCACGGCACACTTAAACCGTGCTACGCACTGCAGTGGAAATGCGCCATTACCCTCTTAAATACTAACCCCCACCAAACTCAGTACAATTTACTGAGCATTTAACAATGAGACTTTATGAGGACGTTTTAAAACGCTGCCTCCCTTCAGATTCCTCATTCCTGGAGTACGGAAATGGATTGATAATTTATTAAATGTGCAGCCCTAATATCCTCTCTCTCTCTCTGTGTCTCTTGTGTTCAGGGAGTGTGCTGTGAAGAAGCCTCCCTCCTCCTCCTCCTCCTCCTCAGGACCATCATGGAAGAACATCCGGTCAAAGAGCAGTGGAGCTCTGCTGCAGGAGCACACCTCCTCCTGCAGGGGGAGCCTCGGTACGATCCTCACTTCTCTTTGTGTATCCTTCTATTGACTTTCTGTATTAAACTCCAAGTATTTAGGTCAAGCCCCCAGGAAGTGCGCCGGACTCCGATGATAATATTCGTTGTGTCCAAACGGCGGTACT